AAAGGATGCAATTAGAGAGAAGCGGGAAATATGCAAGAACTGAAATCCAAGCTAACATAAATAGGTTTTGCAAATTTACAGTTAGTGATGACTAGTGAAAGGGGGAAACCAGAAGTAGTACTTTGGAATTACAGATTTGAGACAAGATATAATATTGAAAGATCTTTTTAAAAATGAAGTATTCCCATATTGGAAGAAGATGGGAAATGAACATGAAAGCCAAAGTAATGTATTCAGAGGTTGCGCGAGCAGGTTCTAATGTTCTTTGATATAGTGTTACTATGAACAAACCTAAGGCCATGAAACTATAGAAATCAAATGCTTGCATGGGGAGGGGCAGGGTGAGTTAACAGCAGTCTCTCTATGCAGCTCACGTCCACCCTTTTGTAGCATTTATGGTAGCATATTAATGATCCCTCCAAATGCAGACGTCTTAACTCCAGAAATCTGTGAATGTGTCACTTTACGTAGAGTAAATTTAAAAATTTTGAAAGGGAAAGGTTACCTTGGATTATACAATAGGCCATTGTAACCACTTGAGTCTTTATAATGGAATGAAGGAGGCAGGAAAACCAGAGATTGATTCAGTACAAAACAGACCTAACTAGCCAGTGGTAGCTTTGCAGATAGAAGGGGAAAAAACACAAGGAGCGTGGGCATCTCTAGAAGTTGGATAAAGAAAGGAAAAGATTCTCCCTTCATCTCTCCGGAAAGGCATGTGGTCTTGCAGATACCTTGAATTGAACTCAGTGAGATTCATTTTGGACTTGACTTCCAGAAGTACAAGATAATAAATTTGTGTTGTACATCACTAAGTTTGAAATATGGTAAAGATGCAATAAAATATTTTTTTTGTCTTTTTCCAGTACCAGGGATCGAACTCACGACCGCATACTTGCAAGGAAGGCGCTTATGCCACTGAGCTAAATCCCCAGCCCCAAGATGCAATAAAATATTAATACAGCATCTATTATGTTTCCTCCTCAATTCCATCACATTGAGTGTTTTCATGAAGAAACCCAGTTAAAAAACCACTAAGTTTGTTTCTCCTTCTAGTGGAGATGAAAGTTTGTATCTGTCCAGAGCCAATTTTCCAACCTAAGTCTTAAATCAACCAAAAGAAAACATCTACTCAAAATATTAAGTTGATTATCTATGACGATCTTTTCCAAAGTGAGACATTTTAAATGTTTCTGAGAAACTTGTAATCATTGGTGAGCTGTCTAATGAGAAATGAAGGGTTATTTCAATCCCAAATTTAACTTCACAGTTTCATATGGGTAAGGTAGAAATTTATGACACCACTCAGTTTTAAAAGAAAGAACTATTATGAGATGGTAGAAAATTTCCCTAGGAAATTTTAATTCCTCCTCACTTTCTATTTCAGTACTAAAGTACTGGATTCAGGAAGGAAAAAGCATATTATTTTGAAAGCTTGTCAGTCTTATTGGGACAGTCTCCGAGGAAATAATTCTGACGATTCCTATCAGGAATGGTGCAGAAAAGACCTATTAACTCATTTAACATTCCCCCAGAGGGTAGCTTTACAGAAAAGAAAAAAAAAAAAAAAAAAAAAAGGAATCATGCTCTGTTATTATACTGCATAAGAAGAGTAAAAGAGGGGCTGGAGATTTAGCTCAGCAGCATAAGCGCCTGCCTTGCAAGCAGGCAGTTGTGAGTTCGATCCCCGGTACCGATAGAAAGGAAAAAGACAAAAAAAAAAAAAAAAAAAAAGTAAAACAAGACGAACTTCCATACAAAGACAAGGCTAGTCATTAGAGATTATTCCTCTAGGCAGAGTGTATAAATTTGCTTATACTTTTATGGGTAATGAATAGTGACTATGATCTATAATAGGCTTTGTTTTGATCATTTAGCAAACAAAAAGTTGATCTTACTTAACAAATTTTTTTACTGGCTACTGAGGAGCTCCACCAAGATGATTCTTTTTCATACTCGATAAATTCAAGTACAAATTCATCTGCTCCTTCTCCCTTACTTCACCCCAGCTAATTCATCTTTCTCCTTTGTTATTTCTGTCTCTCTGTCTCTGTCTCTATCTCTGTCTCTGTCTGTCTCTCTCCATTTGGTCACGTCATCATTTCTCAGGTCGTTGGGTTCAGAACCCTGGTGTCAGTTGTGGTAATCATGCTTCCTTGCCCATCAAAAAATTTCCAAAGATGATGGAAAGAAAAAGAGAAAGAAAACAAAAGTAAAGGTAAGGAAAATAGAAGGTAAATTATTAAGACTAGTCACCTTTCTCAGAAATGACTCATCAGAATTTATTAGTTGAAGAAATAAAAGTGTCACTATTTCATATCTTTTCTTCTTTCTCACAATTTTCTGTGTAACTTAAGGTTTTATCTTAATGAGATGCTATTTCCTTAACTTGGAGCATTTAAGCTTTCAGCATAACTGACACTTGGTTTTGTGAGCTACAAGAATACAGAATAATATTTGCTGGCTATTAAGATTTTTGAAATTAGTAAAAAATTAACTCTTTCAAATACGCTGCTGAACAGAGAAATTGACTCAACTGGCCATGTATTATGAAGACATCATCTGTGAATGGTAATCCTAGCATTTACAAGATTCAACACAAGTTTGAATATTTGTTTATAAATGAGGAAAAATTATGGCAGGGAGAGAAACTGTTGGTGAGCACTACAAAGCGGCTCTGAGCAGGATTTAAACTTTACTGATTGGCTTTCTGTCTTTATCTGCGAGTCTGTCCTAAGCCTAGGCCCCTTGCCTGGCGATGGGAGCTGATTCATAGTGAACCTCTATGAATCACTGGTCCTGGCTGAGGCCTGTAGTGACCTGTGAGGCCAGAGATACCTCAAAGGGCGAGATAAGGCCACAGCTGCGGACACTCTGCCTCCAACCCCAATTAACAAGGTAGAGACTGCAGCTGCAAAGATTACTCCTACAGTCTCACTTCTACCATGTCTTCATGGTAAGACAGTGCTACTGAATTGACTTGATTCATGAGTTGGAAATGTCCTTGAAGTGACTCCAAAGGTCCTGCTCATTGCCTGCACTTTCCTTAGTCTCTCTCTGCCCTTTGTCCTTGTGGTCCTAATATAAGTGGACTGACCCAGACAATCCTTTATCTTTACCCTCGAAGTCTCAAACTTAGTTAAAGGGTTTTGATCCTTCTGGAGCCCTAAAAATAATACAATTTGTCTCTTGTTATTTATCCTCCGCTGTACACTTGTTTGGGAGATCGAGGATCTAGGACAGAACCCGATAAAAGACTAGCTCTTTTTGCTTCAAGAATTAGATAAGGCACAGAATAATTATATGTCCCAGAAAACCCAAGACTTGCTTATTGAATTAAAGGGCAATAATATTTTGCAAGTATCCTAATCTAGTGGAATTCACCTTGTGCTTGAATAGATTGTATTATAAGACTTGTCCAAGAAAGATTTTTCAATATGAATTATTATATACTTTTCTGCCTATATTTTCCAAAAGAACAGGACAATAAGTACAGATTAAAATGGGTGCACCTGATAACAACAGTTTCTTTCAGGTCAACATACCAGGAAATCAGTAATGATAGAAAAAACCACCCTGGCAGAGGTCAGGAGACCAGGGTTGTAGACCTAGTCTTCTTTAAGGATCTAAAGACCCCTAGGAAAGTGGACTTCTTTTTAGGCATCTGTGTCCTAATTGGAAAAGTGAAATGTTTGAGTAAATAGTATAAAATGGACTTCTGCCTTTGATATTCCATGGAGTGATTATGAGTTCTAGCAGCTTAGGTTTACATATAATAAGATTATCTGATCTGTGATTGCTTCTCTCAAAACAGAACAAGTTCCTTTGTCTTATTTTTGCAAAAGGGCTACTGGCACTGAAGAACTATTCTTATTTTGTAAATTCACAAGAATTAATCAGTGTTTACATAAGGCTTATGCAAAATCAAATAGTAAAAAAAACTAGAAAATGAAAGATATAGTCTATGAAATGAAACATACTCTATAAAATAAAAAGACCATATAGTCTCTAAAATGAAAATAACATAGTGCTTAAGGGATATTGTTAACTAAAGCCGAAATAACATTAAAAATAAACATTGTTTTCTACCCTGATCTCTGACCTTCAGTCATCTGAGATGGAGGGGACTCCCATGTTACCCCTTAACCCTAGGAAATTCCCATTTCATATACCATAAACTTCACATTTGCATTCGATACTTGTGCATGGTCCTTAGAAACCCAAGAAATTTGTTTCTTTCTATGTAGGTCACATCTCTTGTATTATATTTTGTAATATCTTAGAGTTGCCACTGATAAGGTACTGAATTTACAATAGAAAGGGAACTGAAAAATCTTTTAAAAAATGAATCCATTTTCCCTTTCAGTCATTTATTAGTTCATTCAATAAATTAACATTTACAGAACATCTCCTGTGATAGATGCTGTGGGGATAAAGCGACATTTACAGTCTGGAAGGGTGGTATGACATGACACAAGTACTGTAAGTGTGGATCACCTGTATGCTGCCGATAGTGTTTGAGGCATCATAGCAGTGTAACTTAGGAAGTGCTATTTAATGAGTGATCATACTGAACAATTTCACAGTCTCTTAAATGGGCATCTGGCTTGTGGAATGCTGTAAAAAGAAAAAAGATTGTCCTTATTAACAAATAGTGAGCACCCTGAATGGGTGCCAGACTTTTCTTTGTTTCTGCCATCAAATGACCCATTGTGACCAAGTAAACATTCTCTTCATTTCTTCTCATGAACACTTACTTTCAACTTATTAAATAACTAACATTTAAACTGTCTTAATGAAAGGAGAGAAGAAATGTCCACTTGCCAGAAAATTGCCACGAAGCATTTTAAAAAGGGCACCAACATTTACGTACTTTGGAAACAACAAACAAAGTGTAGTACACTATTGCCATCCCCTTATTTATACTCAGGTAACCCTCAAATTGTCTTTAAAAGATCTTTTAACTTGGTTTATGTTTCCTATTTCCTGGGGTGACTCACCTCGGCCCTGATTCCGACGACGTTTCCAGTAAAATAAGATGGAGATTAAGACCAGGAGAATCGCCAGGGAAACAAAGCTTAACAATAATGGAATTGAAAACCAAACGCCTGTGAACAGTGAAAGGAGAAAGCAAATGGAGTCACAGGAGAACGTGGTTGAGGCAAAAAATGATAAAATAACAGTTCTGATGACTTTTTACTGGAGTTGAGCTTTCAGTTGAAGTTACCCTAAAAAACATACCTCGCAAAGTCTACATTTACGATTCTATATGGTTTTAATAACCATAATAGCTGACATCTTTTAGTTACTGAATCATAAGTCTTCACATTTAATCCTCAAAATATTCCAATAGTTAGATGTTGTTATCTTTCATCCAAGTACTAACTAACCAGTCCAGACCCTGCTTAGTGTTATTCCAGCACAATAGAGAAGCAAAAGCACCAAATGAACAGGTTTATTGAGTTGGGGACGTGGAAAGGAGCACACAACCTATGGCTGGACTGTCTCCTTCACCAGGTACAGAGAGGCTGAGGGTTATACGACCTCTGATTGGATGGCGCATGGGGTGGATATTGATGACATGTGAGGAACCGATTGAAATTCTTTGTGCGTGCAAACAGGAAGGCGAGTTGCAATTAGGGCTGAAGAAGAAGCAGGAAGTGGTAAGCATTCCCACTTTGGCCTTCTGCCACGTTAGTCCATCGCCCTAACTGTACAGTAATTTATTCTAGGGGAAAACTCTTTCACTTAGTTTCCACAGCTTCAGAGATCAGATGAGGTCTGACACACTCACAGTGATAGTGAAGTATACCAGACCATCACAACAGTTTCTGCAGGTAGACAGCTGTTATCTAACAGACAACAATAAAGTAAAACTGAGCCACAGCCAAGGTAAGTGAGCTCAAAAGTCAGTGTAGTAAGTTGGGCCAAGGGAGGAGCATTGCTGTGGACTCCAGACCAGCCTAAAAGGAAACACAGGGAGTAAAAGGGGTTGGAATGGGAGATGGCTTGTTTTAGAAGGAGTGACAGGATATGTCAGAGCAGCCCTTTTCTAATGTGGGTTACACAGATTTCATCACATACGTGTGTCTTCCAGGAACCTCTACTCCCCTCAGATTGGGCAGGAAGTCTCCCCCTCCTGCCTTCAGACCTGCTGCTGTATACACACAGCTTTTATATGAAAGCAATTTACATGCGGTTTTACAAGGGCCAGATACTTTTCTCTATTCCCTAGGAGACTGGACGTTCTCTGAATGCAGGAAACTAAGTCTTTTTCATTTCTGTATTTTTTGTGCTGAACCCAAAGTCTGGTATACAACAGACAGTAAATCTTATCAGAACAAAAGAACAAACATGAATGGATATTGACAAAAGCATTTCACATTTACCAAGGTAAATCTTACCTGTGATTAGTCTCCCTTCCCTGTGATTTCGCTTCCCATGATTTTGGTTACTCATGGCATCTCTGGTCCAAAAGTATATCATAGAAAATCGCACCACATATTTTAAATTGCACACTATTGTGAATAACACAGTAACATCTCACAGCTCACACCACATTATTCCATCCTATCTTTGTCCAGTGTATTGACATGTTCTAAGCAACCTTCCTGTTAGTCACTTAATAGCATACTTGGTATCAGACTAACAGTCACAGCATCACAGTGTTTATGTTCAAGTAACCTTTATTTTACTTAAAAATGAACCCAAAGCACAAATATTTATGAAGGAATATTATTGTATTGTTCTACTTTATAATTGTAGTTGTTAATCTCTTATTGTGCCACATTTAGAAATTATGCTTTATTATATGTATGTATATATGTACAGGATGAAGTATCATGTGTGAGGGTTAGTCTTATCTGGCTTCAGGCATTGACAGGGTAATGGTGGGGGACTTGGAACGATAGTATCCCCTATGAATAAGAGGAGACTCCTGTAAAATTTGATTTATTCGCTTTCTTAGCTCTTTTTTCTTTTTCATACTAACCGCTTCCTTTCCCCAGTGATCTCCTTTGCTGAGGAGATGAAAAACCTGAGAAACATTTACCACCTTCCTTATGGGTGGGTATCCATAGGTACAATCACATCCGTCTCTGACCAACTTCTCTTACCTTTGTGCAGAGTTTCCTTGTAGTCAGCCACATCTCCCAAGTGCAGGACCTGGCAGATCACCTCCTTCCCAACCTGACTCTTGGCATCTTTGACGTGGAGAATGCTAGTGACAGATGTGGTGCCATTAGGATGCAAAACACTCTCAGTGGTATTCTCAATCCCTGACCCAGCAACCTTCCAGGAGATCACAGGGGCCGGGCGGGCAGTGGCAGAGCAAGTGATGTTTAGCTGATCTTCGAAGAAATTGTGGTGAAGGAATACTATGGGCTGTACTGGGACCAAAAAAAAATATGTTTATATGACCTACACTCAGTAAATCACTTAGCTAAACTTTAAATTCTGCTCACAGAACTGAAAAAAAGTCATCACAAAAAGATGTGGTGGTTATGCATATTCCACTTAACTATGACTTAGTTTCTGTCCCATTATCTAACCTGCAGGGTGCAGGAGAGCCTGGTCCAAACCTGTGATGGGAAAAGCACTACAAGCTATTTTTCTCTAGCACAGCTGACTGGATGGATAGAAGATACTGAGAAGTCCTATGCCACTCTTCTTTCACAAATAGGCCGGAGGATAATTATTCTGTTCTCCTTTCACAGGACCATTGAAGCATCTCTGGATTCTTCAAATAGTTAGCTAATAACTCCACGCCAGCATCTCCATATATGTAAATGTACCTACCAGAAACATGAGAGTAGGTACCAGAACAGAGTCCAAAGAGGGCTTCTGCTTAGTGAGAGTCATTTTATGCTTGAAGCTGGACCAGTGAGTGAACCATGAAGGGGAAAAAAAAAAGTTGCCTGCTTGGATTTTGCAGCTCAAAACCAGAACAATCAAGCAGTTAGAAGCACCTTGGACACCACCTGATACAGTTAAGGGAAAGTAACTTGCTTAGGAGAAAATATAACTTTCAGGCCAGCTGTAGCTTGTTCCCTTTTAAAAGTTCACTAGCTAAAGAGTTCATCTTCACTGGAGTGTATAATTTATTTCTGCCAAGCAGTGCATGCTGTTCTTTTGTGTTTGGCTTTGGAGGCCACATGATAATTACAGGGGAATGCTGAATGAAAGCTGGTCTGTGCTTTTAGGCTTAAGAGGTGGGTGGGAGTATGCAGGGGTCAGAGGGAGTGGGGCTATGGAACTCCAGCTGGGCATAGAGAGGGCGAGATCGCGAATGATCACTGGCAGAAGACAGTCGAAAGTGAAATCAGGTAAGTAAGATGATGTGGCCAGACTAAGTGTCAGGATCCTCTAGGGATTCAGAGCACAGTAGATGGAACCCACAAGGTGTGGTTAGAAAGAGTGAATGTGCAAGGGAACAAGATTGCTAGCTAAAAGCTTCAGAGGAGTGTGGTTTTCTGAGACAAATTCAAAAGATTGTAAGTAAGGAAGAAGAGTAGAAAAAGGATAAGAAAAAAAGAGAAAGAGAAAAAGGCACAGAAATGAGCAAAATAAGACTTAAGAAAAAGGCAGGAAGAAAGAGGAGATGATGAAATGGAGGACAGGGAGAAATGAACAGGCAGAGAACGGAAGGTGGAAACCTGGAGAAAGACTGACAATACTCTGCAGGGTCCTCAACACAGGCAAAATAAGTGGAAAAACCCTGGATTTGGTGTGGGCATAACTCCCTTGTGTTCTTACCTACTTAATTCCCTTTGCTTCCATGACAATATTCTTAGAATGCTCAAAGCCTCAGTATTAAGATTTAATATTAAATATTAACATTCCTAATAATGCTGTATGTTTGTCTTCTAATTTCCAGCAGAAAAAAAACAATGGATTCTCAGAGATTCTCACCGTAGAGGGTAAGGCAGGTTGTTCCTGAGATCTTCCCAGCGCCAAAGGTATTGAAGAGACACATGTAACACCCTTCATCCTCCAGTGTTGCATTCCAGAAGGTGATGGCTGACTTCTGCAATCCCACCTCGGTGATGTTCATCCTATCCATATAGGGAGGCTGGACCACAACCCCATGTTTCTTACTGTAGGTGGCCATGTTTTCTGGGCTTATATCCTTCTTTTTTTGCCATGTCACAATTAAGGCTTCTAAGGAAGATTGCAAAGAACATCTCAAGGATGCAGGTGTGTTCAGCGGCTTGCTTTCATCCTGGGTCACCACTTCCACAATGGTACCATAAAAGAACACAATTATTAAGGTTGATACATTATGTCAACTTTAGAAGTCTAAAATTCAACTAAGTATCTCAGCAGTTCTACATCCCAGGATACAGAGGACCTGCCCTTTCCACTCTACGGTGTAGTTCATCATGTCAACTTGAGAATGTAACTAAGTGACTCAAAAGACAGCCAAGGTCCTCACTTTGTAAACACTCTGAGCCTGTGTAAGAGGGCATGGAGATGGTGTGAGTGCCACACCTATCCTAGAGGGTGTAGCCTGCTTACAATATAAGTGGAAAAGGGATCTGGTCCCCCACCACCACCTCTTTTTGCTTTTGCTTCTTTTGTTGTCTTCTGTCATCTTGATATGTTGCCCCTGTGCTGTGTCACCTTGCCTTGGAGACAGCTGATTACAGACTAAAACCTCAACAAACCACGAGCTAAATAAACCTTTCCTTCCTTAATTTTGGGTGCAGGTATTTTCTCTCAGTAACGAGAGCAAAGTAACCAAGACAAACGCTTATATTTTAAAACTGTAATACATACGTACATACATACATACACACACACACACATATTTTCCTGATAACAACATAATGTATGTTGAAAGTCAAAAATAAAAAAAAATTGCAAAGCAAAAAAACAAAAAAGGATTTACATACCTATAGTAAATAAATATATATTTGTTCAATCTTTAAAAGCAGAATAGCAGAACATAATAATAAGAAAGAAAATGCTCAGGGTCGAGAAAATTTGAAGACTCTTGTAGGCTGGAAAAGAAGTAGAATAAGATTAAAGATGAAAACTGCCAGACAGGATAGGAAATGAGTTAGAAACAAGAAGCAAGAAAGAGCCAAAAGATAACAAGTGGAGTGATTAGTTTAAGTAAAGAAGATGTAGCAACTCTGTATATCACACACACACACACCTTACAAAGGAAAGAAGCACAGAAGTGTCTGCCTCTGGACAGTAGAAGTGAACACAGGCGCATAAAATACAAAGATAAACTGCACAGTGCTCTGGGAGGCTTGTTAGTTCACAGCAAGGCTCTAAAGCTTTCGTGCCCAAATGGCAAGTCACACATGCGCCATTTTCATTAAATGGTCTAGCACTAGTTTCCTGTCTTTTGCCATTGTAGCCATTATGGCAGACAACATACTGGGAAATCTTACTATAATAACAAATAGCCATTAGCTGAAGAGATACCATTAATGAATAAATTAGGCAGGCAGTCTGTTCAACCGAATTCTTCCAGAACGTACCACAAAGGGTAAATATATGACAGATTAAAAAAGTAATGAGTAGGTTTCACTGTTCCAACATCAGCCCAACAGGACTTGTAAAAAGGAGAGAAAAGGAAGAATGAAAAATAAAAACACTATAAGAATGAAAAATTACTTTTTCAAAATGAAGAAAAGAGCACTCTAAAATAGGCTATACTGACCATGAAACTTCATATACTCCAAAACCTTACTCAGAAATTTATAAAGCAAAAACAAATAAAATCATAAAATACAATTTAAATGTATACAATCATCATTGGAGAGCTTTCTATATATCTTTCACAATCTTCAGTTTCTTATATTTTAAAATCATTTAATCAACTATGTATATGCTATTCAGAGAGAAGGCATATTTTCAGAATATACATAAAGTATTTCCCAAAACTGAACTTGAAATTAGCTACAAACGTTTGCTACCATGTGACCTGGAAACTACCTACAGTGTAATAAAATCAGAAATTTGCACACTGCTTTTAAACCCTTAGTCATAGTAGAAATAAATTAGTAAAACAAGGTGACATGATGTTGAAAATCTGTGTAAATGAAAAAGCAGCTCATAGAGGGACAAACATCATCTCCATTTCATTTACTGGAAAACAAGAGAGACTGAAAAACAAACACAAAACTTTCATCTAAACCTCTTACTCTCCATCCAAAACACAGGAGGGAATTCATGAAGATAAATGTGCCAATTAATGAAATGACACACAAGGGAAATTTGATCAAAAAACACCAACGCTTGTTTTTTAACAGAAATAAAGCATAAATGTTGGCAAACAGTAGAAAGCAAGAAGGCTGCCCAAACAATTCCCCAACAACACAAGGACAAAAAGCAAGCCCAGCAACAAACTCCAGGCCTCCCGTGTGGTGCCCGACGGGAGATTTAATGATGTAAACTGTTGACATTTTTCAGGGCCAAGATTTGAAAAAACTATTGCTGTAGAATGTGGAGTAGACAGGACATCAAGACAAGTGCTCAACTTTTGGGGGATTTCTTTTCTATTTTTGCATCACCATGGAAGAACTTTAGAGGAACATTTACAACTCTTTGCTGCTTTGGGGGCTCCTTCCCGTTTTGCCAGTCAGTTGGTAAATCCTGTGATAGATGCTATAAACCAGGGCTGTTGCTAGGCTGGAAGCCTGCCCACCCTTCTTTAGCAAGGTCCTCTCTAGTTGCTGGGCAACATTAAAGTGAAAGTGATTTTTAATAAAAGGCCAGAAGAACAGGAAAATGATCTCTCTTAGAACACAGCAGGAAAAACTAGAAAATTTAGCAGATAAACAGATGACACAGGCACGTTTTGGTGTGTGGGAGAGCATGGTAAATATCCATATATCCTCTATATTTCATAATTTTCTGTTTTTCTGAAAAAGGACAACAAACCATATTTTAAGGCTTATTCCCATATTATCTTCCAAAGAGACTATCCAAACTGACGCACCCCTAAGAATACCCTTATCCTTATAAAGGCAGGGAATTCTTATTTCTAGATTTTTAAATTTGGTGAGTAAATGACACTACATTTTAATTTTCAGAGGATATTTTGCTCAGTCTGACTCATCTATGGACACAGCTTCTAAATATCACATTGTTATTCTGCCTCGAAAACACAGAAAATGTGAGGCACGGCAGAGGCACTCCACCCTTCCAAGCAAATTACATGCTTCAGCAGCTCATGCAAACCAAACAGCAGCAGCCACCACAGACTCCCCGTGTGCTGGACCGGGGCTGGAGGGGTTAAGCATCTTTTACCTTGTGCTGTGCACACCACTGTCGCCATGCCCCAAAGCAGGCTGTAGGTAGACAGATGACAGAATGACCTCCTCAACACCTGAAGACAGAAAGGAAAGTACAGAAATGGGGTTTGCATTTGGATAAAGGCAAGGCAGCTTCAGTGTAATTGCTACTTCAGGGAATGTGGCAGTTAAGTTTTTACCCACCAGAGAATTTTGGTTTTGTGGAGGCAACAGGCACGGTATGGTTCTTTCATAACAGCAAAAAACCCCTTTAAATTTGAGGCCTGTCTCTAAAGCCACTTGTCAAGGGAAAGGTCTCGAAGACCACTGGGGAAGTAACTGCCTTAAAGAAACACAGAGCACCCAGGGAGTACAAATGTCAGAGAGCACTCAACAGTTCACATCTGCGGATATTAAGAATACAATGCAAAGGTAAAATGCAAGAAATCGTGACTGCTTGAGCTTTGCTGAGGTACATTTCCCTGCAAAGTATACATGATTTGCACAATTTAAAAAAAACCAGTATTGGCTTTGATTTGATGTTTTTCCTTTGTTGCCTCATGGATCTCTTCACTTTTTCTACGTGCATATCATTCTAAGGAAGACATGCTTTCTCCATTTTTCTGTTTTTTTCTATAATAAAGATGTATATGAAATGTAAGTTTCTCTGTACTTTTCCTTACACTTCATTTTAATACCAGGTTGCCAATCTGTTCCACGTAGAGGTAGAAATTTAATGTCATATCATCTGTCATTTCAGTCTCCTTCCAGCCAACATTCCATGAATGCCCCAGTCTCTTTACATTTAATCTACCTTTCTGGAAGCTTCCATAATGCCAGACTGTGGAGCAGAGATACTAATATTGTTTACCACCATGTATCCAGCTGGCCTTTACTAAAATGACTGTTTGCCCTCAATTATCACCGTCAGTGGTTTATATTTATAGGGGAAAGTGAAGTTCTCTAATGTTCTAAATGTTGTCTTGGTTTCTCCCTGTAGTCTGCAAAGTGAAATTTTAAAAGTTTCTGCCAAGATGTGTATGTATGCATCTATCTGCATTTTACTGTTCCTTTGTCGTGGTGGACAGGCACAGGCTTCCCCAATCCCACCCAATCCCAATGACACAGATACTTTCTCTTCTTGGATCTCGACACCTATTTGCAGGGTCTATTTTCCACTCTCCTATTTTACCTCAGCTCTCTACTTCTGCAGGTCAGGCACAGGGCTTCTTTTTCAGAATGCAAACTGGTATCTAGCCACAGTCATGAAACAGTCCTTCCTTCCTCTCCCATTCTGCAAAACACTTATCTCCTCTTGGATCAGAGAAGCTACTTCTTCCAGCATTTTGAATTCTTTCAGTGATTCTTTTAGTAAAGAACTTTCTGTCCTTGGTGTTTCAAAATTTGGCTTTTTGGGATTCAAACAATTCAGCTCATGTTATCATAAAAGTCTGGCTTCTGAAACTTATTTTCTGCTTTTCTGGGTAGTATTTCTCTTCTGAGACAGTAGGTATTTAACTATATGATTTAAAGATCAAGAACAAAAAATAAATGTCAGGAATCAAAACACATACAAGGTAATATATCAGAATTACACTCCTAACTTATCTCCCATAAGGTGACTAAACTACTAATGGAAACGGTATTAGCATTTATTGAATTATATATTCACAAGACTATTCTTAGAGGTTAAGCTATTTCTTTTAAAACTTCTTATGAACTTATTAAAGACACACTATAATTATTATTTCCAAAATGAAGAACTGAGACACATATTCCCAAAGTCAGACAGGCAGGAAGCAACGTAGCCAAGATTTAAACTCCAGAGCTCATAACTATAAATGCTACAACATTTGCCCTCCTCTATGCATAAGGGATCACTGATTTTAAGAATCAGACACACAAATAAATCCAAATTATGAAATGATGCTGTTGCTGCGTACTACCAAATCATTATTATAAGTGGTTATCAAACTCTCATTCAGAAAGTAGTTCCTGCTTCATTGTCCTAGAAAAATACGTTGAATGCATTTGGAAACTAATATTTGATAAATGTTGCACTAGGTTTCACAAAGCCAAGCTCTCTTGGACAGTTACTGCGTAATTATCTAGAACATTTACTGATTAAAAAAAAAAAAGTATCTGCTGTCCACATCTCAGTTGATTCTTGGCTCCCAGCTCCCACCACCTGCCACTGCATCCCTATATGCATGTCCTCCGGTCTGGGTCACTCTGTTCTCTTTGCATACAAAAGAGAACACTGTGGTGCCTTGATGTCACTGAGCTCTCCCCTGCTTAAGTGCTTTTATGTTTTCCTTCTGTCCCAAATTTTCTCAGCTGAATAACAGCAAAGGAGTGAATGAACGAGTTTACAAATGATACCAAACTAATCACTGTACCCAACGCACCTTCACTTCTAGACTTTTCTTTCCCAGGCACTTTCCTGGACTTCTTATTCTCCCTCTTATTAATTATGAGTAATTAGTCACTACACAGCCAGTGGTCCACATGCAGTCCTGCTTCTTACCTTTACTGCCCTACCTTGGCTTGTAAGAGTAGGTACCCTGGCAATTGTCTTCTGCTTATCTTCCACCAATATTTGTTTACTTAATCACAGACCATCTGTATTGAGTTGAATGTCATCCAAGGCACTCTGCCTGGTGCTTTGGAGACAACCATGAATAAGACAGATGTATAACAGCCATTAAATCGACTAGCTAGCTTACGTACACATTTACATTTTAGACAAATTAGTTTTCCTTAAATTTGTCTTTGTACAAGTTTTCATGCCATAAAAACCTCCTATAGTGCCTTGCTTTATTGAGAAAATAATTGAAATTTTCCAGCCTGATATTTCTTTACCTGCAAATTCATCTTCTGCTGCAATATGCACATTTTCTCCTTGAAAGCCAGCCTGGTCTGCTTCCAAAGGCACCACCCAATTTCCTGCCTTGCCATTTTTGCTTAAATCATTCCCCGTCATGAAATGCCTTCCCCTTGGCTTTTATCTAGATCTCTTTTTACAAGCTTGATCTCATCCATTTTGGTAAACGTGATCTTTTTCCTTTCAAATGCTTTTTGCTTAGATTTGTTAGAACCTAAGCAGATTTGAGCCTCTGCCCATGCATCTAAGGGGGACTTAACTTCCCTTTGTCCACCATCCTACCTCCTAGATCTTGTCTGAAGTCTCCTTTGACCCACTATCAGAGTTGAGAGAAGATGACCTCTTTCAAAGCACACCCCACAATATGCCCAGGTCCTCTGCACACTCTCCCCAACACCTTCACAACCTGTCAGCCCCCACAAACCCCAATCTGTCATTCTGTTCACTCTCTCTTGCATTGAGGAAAAAAATCTCATACTAAAACATGACCTGACAGTTTTGAAATACACTGCACTAAATTCTTAGGGTTGGAACACTGGCCGTTTGTTTAGCAGCTGATAGTCTCTAATTTGACTGTGTCTGCTTTTCCTTCCACCCGAGAACCTCAAACTGTCATTCACGAAGTAGTTCCTGCTTCACCTTCCTCAAATCCTGTTGTTTACCAGGATATCTTGATCATTTTCTCCTTGTTTAAGTCTGCTGCCAACAACAAAGCCAGCCCGGGTTTCCCATTCTTCATATATATGTTGTTAACAGCTCTGCTTAGTTCTGGCTTCTGATACTATAACTCATTTCTAAATTACTGGAAATAACCACTTATATGGCCTTGCTGGAGTGTCAGGATTATTGTGGAAGGATGGAATTCCATCTGGGGGATCCCATTAGCTCATTTCTATTAGGTAAATAACTTCTCAGCTATAAAGTTCATTTTTCCCGGTATTCTAACCTCTATGATTGCTCTGAAATTTCTCTGGGATTTCTATTTTCTTATGACATCTTTTTGTTTTGTGAGTTTAGGATCAGAGAATAAAGGCAGAATCTTTGAGTATCTGAACATCTCTAATGCCACAGGATTCCTCTTTCTTTTTCCTGTCCCGTGGAAGAACCCTGATTTTTAATATCCTCCTTCCTTCTCACTGTATATACTTGTTAGTTCCAGTTAATACATGCTCTTTTGTAAAAATCCCTTGAGTAACAGCTATGACCCAAAACTTAAGAAGGGAAAGGTTACAAAAGAAGTATCAAACCAGTGTAGGTCAACTGATGATTAATGACCACTAATCTCATAATGTAACCCTGGTTTTTCATGTAAGAAACATTACTAAGCAAGTACCTTCACAGACCAGAGTAGAGGTTTATTGGTGAGTATTGACACTCATCTTCCCTTAGGGTATATCATAAGCAGATGAGCCCCACGGTCCTGTCTAGCAAGATCAGTGAGGAATCTTGGAAACAGGCTTCAGCTGTGTCTCAGCTCCACTGGGGCCTTCTCATACACTGCAGGTGGTTATGTTTTTGGAGACTAGTGAGCTGTCATGGTCTGGGCACGGGCTTGATTCTTCTCCATAGACTCTCCATCACAGTCCCTCACTCAGTATTCCTCTACATCTTTGGGGACAAATATGTTAGAAGGGATGAGGTCTCATTTCCCCATGACCCGCCTCCAGTGCCATCCCTCATGTTAGTGCCCTCTCGTCTTCACCCAAAGATGCCCAATCATTTCGACTTTCTCCCTAGATTCCACAGAGTGTCATCACTATGCACACTGATATTCATCTGTATGGCGTAAGCTGCTTGTTTCTTATATTCTTAAACACTACAGGGAATTAAAATTACATCATTTCAGTGTGACACTAGGACTAATTACAGCTTGCATGTATATTTTTATTATTTGATACTAAGCATACTATGAGCATGTGACGCTCACCTTGTGACTTTTCTTGTCTTCATAGTTCTAAGGCCAACAACAAAGCCATTGTCCTTTAGGAAGTCAAAGATTATGCTGTCTGAAAGATACATCCTATGCCACACTTTTCCACCATGCCCCCTGTATCACATTCACTTCAAAGACTTGGGGGGGGGGGCTAGATCAATCAAAGGCTTTAATGTTGAAGTGGGCCAGATGGTACTTGAAATTTCCGAGTCTTCCTGAGACCGTTCCACCCTATCTTATTGTTTAGGAAAGCTGGAAAAAAAATCCAATCAAATGCTTCCTCTGACCCTGCTGCCAGGACCCAACATACGGTATATTCTCAGCTAAGGCTGCTATCAACAGATATACTGACATCACAGTACCACGTCAATGCAGACTGGATTGTCTTTCATTGTGAAAAATCTGTGTTTAGGACAAGAGATAAAAAGCAGACACACACTGAAACACAAGGCTGTGGACGTGGAGCCAGCAGTATTAACAAACGAAGCAGTTTAGGTCAAAGGAATCAGAAGGAAAGCCTCACTATGCAACACACACACATTTTACTTAATACACATTTTTCCATCATCTAGTCAACATAGAACTGAAAATACTACTGTGTTGAAAACCAGAGGATTTACATTTTTAAGGGCGGTAACCAAGAAGCTACTGCTTTATGGCAGCCAGGAGGACAAACTGACTGAATTGAGTTTTGTCTAAAACAAATGCTAGATGTGTGAGGTAAGACACATTATTTACCTTTCTGAAACTAGAAGAAAATAACAGTATCAACTTCATGGCTTAAAAGACTAAATGAAGTAATCTGAAATTTATAGCTACAAAACGTTAAACTTTTGAGAGCCAGTATGATATTACAGTGCAAAATCCCACACCTGACCTCATGTGAAGGGTTGTAGTTGTAAAGTAGGTACACTAAGAATATGAAATTATCTCCAGGTGATGTGTATAAGGTCTATATGGAACATCCATGAATTTCATGGTCATACTTGGGTTTTGTTACTTCACTTTGTGTATGCAAATATTCCAAAAAAAAAAAAAAAACCTGAAAACACGTCTGGTTACAAGCATTTTGACCACTTCTACACTGATTTCTGACACAGACAAGCACCAGTTCAATGCTGCTCTTATCCAATATGCGAGGACATGATGTCAGCACTTAAAGGACTTAATACAGTGCCCCGGATTTAACAAATACTAAAATGCATTAGATGGAGAAAAAATTAATACAGAAACGAAGAGTCACTCATGAAAAAGAAAAAGAAATCCACTTATAATGCTTTCCAAGACCACCAAGGTTGACAAAAGTTTAGGTCTTGCTTAACAACTGCCTAACCGGCAGATACATAAACCTCTTTCTCTGAAAGTTTTTAAATTGAAATCCTGACCCACCACATGTAGCCACATGAGCTTAGCAAAGATTAACCTCTGAACTACTTTGTCATTTGCAAAATGGGGCAGGTATTCCTTGTTGGTGAGGATTAAGCTTGTCTACCCTGTCAGCACTAGGCACTAGCTCCGAGACCACCATTCTCCTTTGTTAAGAAAGATAATGAAATACAGTGACTAGTTGTGTGGTCTTTCCAGTCAGCTGTAGGTAAAAATACCTTTATCTCAGTAAGCCAACAGGATGTATGATTGACTTTTAAAAATATAAACAGATCCTGAATAAACAATGCGCCTTCTCCCTGGATATTCTTAAACAACGCTTTGATGAAACAGGATGGTCAGAGCTTTCAACCCTCTCCGAAGTGCTGCTGCAGCTCTGCGGGATCCTTGGTGGCTCCCCAAGGCAAGCCCAGGAGGCAAGAGCAGGCTGGGCAGCTCCAGGGAAGGGCTTCTCCGGGGCAAAGCGCACAAAGCCAGTGCGCGCTCCACGCTCCATCTCCTTCTTAGGGTATTTACCTGCGCTGGCCTCCAGCCTCTGGCCTCCGGAGCTCAAGCTAGGGGGTGCCACCGCCTGGGGGCCTCGGGCCGACGGCGATGCAAGCCCCGGCCCGCAGCCCACAGCCATGCAAGCCCCCACCCGCGAGCATCCCTCCTCCAGGGAGCCGGGCGGAGGCCAGCCGGAGAACCGGGAACCGCCAGCCAGCTACCCTTCGGAAGCTCCGCTTCCCTGCACGGAAGGCGCCGAGAGGAAAGCTGCGAGCCACGGAGGACGCCGCCGTCCCCGTCCCACCCCCTCCCCGCAGCCCGCAGCCCGCGCCGCTCAGCTCACCATGCTCCCCCGCCTGGCGCAGGCAGCCGCGCAGATCTGGAAAAGCCTCGGTTGGTGCAGCAGAGCCAGCTCCGGGGGCGTGTATCAGAAGCTCCGCCCAGCTCCTGCCCCCTAACCAAGAGAGGCTCTTTAAAAAAATCGACATTTAAACTCAAAATTATATATTCAAGAAGTCAGTTTTGTCATGATTTAATCATTTTTTCTCTTTACTGAGGAGTTCCTTCTACTTGCATTAATGATGATTTTTTTTTTTTTTTTTTTGAGGGAGGCCAGGTTCCACAGTTCTTGGGTCTTAAGCCAAAGAGAAAGACAGGTTAATGAATGAATGCTCACCTCCTAAAGCCTTGTATGTTCACTCCACCGCTCTCTCCAGGCGCTGTTCAAAGCCTCTGGTGCTTTGATCCTTTGAGCTGCCTCCTGTGCACGGTGCTGTGCTTGTTCACCGTAAGTGTGCACCCCTACCTGTAATTTCATAGACAAAGCTCATCTGTTTTTAAATTTGATGTCACTGCCTCAGTGACCCAAGAGAGGCCTTCACTTGTCTCTGCAGCCTTCCATCGAAGCGTAGATTTGAAAATTTCATCTGTCATTTTATGTGTAGTAGTTGTACTTCTCACTGTGGTGTGGTATTCTATTTTACAACTTTGTATACATCGCAACCATTTGCCTATTCTTTTTTTGAGATTATTTTCTTTATTAGTACATGTTTGCACTACATAATGCTTGCATTCCCTGCATGAGGTTGGAACATGTATGTAATACATCTAATTCCTTTATTCATTCCCTCCCCTCCCCTCCCCTTAATAGGCATTTGTTTTCCAATTTGAAAATACTCTTGATAGAAATTTTATAAACATTCTTATACTTGACTTTTCATAAGCATATGTACACCATTCTACTGGATTACCTTTGATTCTTGCCATATATTTTCCTATTGGTTTATTTTTAAGTTTTCTCTGTACCTTTTTTACTTAATAAAGCCAGGTTACAAAAATTGTATCTAAAATAAACAACTCAGATCTATGTGGAAAGGGATATAGATTAGAAAATGAGGTCATAAGGGAAAGGGAGAATTATGTTAAGATATACATGTTGGAAAATTTAAGAAATTAGCATTAAAATTATGAGCATATGTGTCATACTTAGTAATAGGAGAAAACAGCAGAATAATAGCCCTAGGAAGTACTCTTTAAAGCTAGCAAAAGAACAATACTCAAAAAGATTTAAAACTGAAAAAGCAGACATTTGAGACACAGAAGAGGGGAGAAAATCCCTCCCATCATGAAGCTAAATGATAGTTTTAAAATTCTTTATAAAAGATGACAATGCTATAAATATGATAAAAATTTGAAAACATACAAAATAAATAAATTTTTGAAGGTGACAAACTGGTTCTAAATTTCTTTTGAAAATCAATAGGTTGATAACTTTAAAAGGAATTCAGTTAAAATTAAAGGTTTTCTATACCAAATAAAGAGCAACTCCAAAGATGGTAAAGAATAGAAATCATTATCTTGAATACCTGTTTCCAAAAGGAGAAATATATAATCATTTATTTTACTTATGTTACATTAATTTCAAAGCCAGGAAATGATAATAGCAAAAAAAAAAAAAAAAAGAAAGAAAAGAAACTATCGTCTAATTTTACTTACAGATATATAGCAGAAAAATTCTGGAATGATTTAACATTAGAAAAATCTGTCAATATATTTTCTTATTCTAACTACTATGGAAAATGCTAATGACTATCTCAATAGAAAAATTACTTCATAAATTTAATAACCTAATTATAATAAAACCAAAGAAAACAGAAATAATAAATATTTCCTAACCTTGGCGATATGCTTAATGTCCAAATCCATCAAGTATTAAAGATAATACTTAGCGAACTTTTAAACATTGTCTTTAAATTCAAAATAAGCAAAAGATCATTATTATTTCTAACATTTAAAAAGAGATGTAAAGATTGAAAATGAGAAAGTCAAGCCACTGTTTTCTTGTAAGAGAGATGAGCATCACCGTGGAAAACTGGCAGACTCTAAAGAAAACTGAATTAAACAGTTTAGCATGGTTTCCAAACACAAGCAAACTTGCAAAATTCAGAAATTTTCATGAACCACTAACAACCAGTCAGATTTCATTTGAAGACACAAAGATATTATTCATTATTGTGAACTAGTAAAAAGTACCAAAGAATTAGTTCAGCAAAAACTACACAAGTCTACAGAAAGAAATTTTTACAACTTCTCTAAAGATTCTCAGAAAGACTTTAACAAATGCATGGCATACATGTGTGGCAAGATGTAAATTACACTAGCAAGATATCAGTGCTCCCAAAGATCTCTACAAGTAAATCACAAAACACTGATAAATAGAAAAAGAAAATTACATCATATTCAAGGGTTGAAATAGTATTGCTAAAATGACCATACTAACCAAAATCATCTGAAGATTCAATACAATTTCTATCAAAATACCAATGACATTCTTCACAGAATTGAGTAAAGAAATTCTAAAATTTGTATGGAACTGTAAACAATACCAAACAGTCAAAACCATCTTGAGCAAGAAGGAAAAGCAAGAAATGTTATATTCCTTGACTGCAAAATATACTATAAAGGTGTAGTAATCTAAACAGTATGATATTTGCATGAAAGAGCCACATAGACCAATGAAACAGAGTAGGGATGATAAACCTGCATATATACAACCAGCTGATTTTCAACAAAAATGTTAAGGACATAGCCTGCAAAGAGGATAGGGTTTCCAAGAAACAGTGCTGGGAAAAGTGTATATCTACATGGAATACAATGATATCAGATCCCCATTTCACACGTTACAAAAATAAACTCAAAATTGACTGAGACTTGATAGCATCAAGTCTCAAAATGTGAGACTTGATGCTATGGAGGTACTAGAGAAAAAACAGAAAATTATCAGGACTTTGGAGTGGACAAGGAAGTTTGAGACAAGACCCTAGAAGCACAAGAAACAAAAATGAATAAATGGAATGATATCAAACTAGAACATTCTGGTCATCAAAAGACATAATTAACTTAGTGAAGAGACTTTTACAGAACAGGAAAAATATTTGCAAAATCCACCTGATAAGTTAATATTCAGAATAAATTTTGATATTTTTGTGTGATTCACAGCACAAAACAGATAATCTGTTTAAAGGTGGAAAATACAGTGTCTTCAAGATCCAGCCATGTTGGAACTTGGGGGACCAAACAAGAAAGCAATGCACCTTCCTTCCTAGTAAGCAGTGGTGCCAGTGAGCAGCCAGGGAGAAAACATGTCAGTGTCTCCTGTGAGCCTACCAGTGCGTGGTAGCCCCACCTCATGGTTAGCCCCACCCCATGGTTAGCAGCTGGATGGTCTAGAGGACAGCCGGAAGTTGATAGCAACTAAGGTACATAAAGCAACTAAATGCTTATATTTTTGGGTTGATTATGCTGACCTGGTGCCAGAGGTCTGAGCATCTCTTGGGAGGATGACTATATACAATATAGCAAATATGGGAGGTTTGCTTCTATCTCGTCTTTGAAGGTAAATATTGCTTTCACTGTTTTGCTTTGTTCTGATTAATTGTTTTGTTCTATTCAGTATTGTTTTCATAGGTTTTATAATGTTCTGTTTTTGGTTTGATTTGGCTAGACCTGATGGAATGGACAACTATTGTGAAGGTAACAAGATATACTATGGTACCCATTACTGTTATCCCAGTATTCTGCTCTGAAGTTTTATACCAGTTTCAGTGTAGTGTCTTGACTGGCTTTGTTCTGTCTTATTTTGTTGTATTTAATGATCTTCAAAATAAAGTATAATAATAAAAGTGGAGAATAGATCTAATTAGACATTTCTCAAAAGAAGACATAAATGACTAACAAGTATATGAAAAAATAGTCAACATCACTATCAGGACAATACAAATCAAAATCACAATGACATATCATCTTACTTCAAGTAAGGATGCTTATTATCAAAATACAAACAATAACAAGGGTTAGCAAGGATGTGGAGAAAAGGGAATATACACACACTTTTGGTAGGGATGTAAATTAGTACAACCATTATGTAAAACATCCTGAAGTTTCCTCAAAAAATTAAACATAGAACTACAATATGATCCAGTTATACTGATATAGGGGAATGAAACTCCCAACATACTATATGTCCAGAATGAGTTTGTGTTCTCAAAAATCAAAGAATGAACTTTAGGAACAATGGAGGTTAAGAGCAGAAATATTTATTGAGAGAAAGAAAGCTTCTGTCTGAGAGACAGACAGAAGGGGTCCCACGTGGGTTGCCAAAGATTCTGTATTTTCTAAGGATTTTTATAGAGTAAAACCATGAGGTAGATGGGTCTAAAATTGGGAGCTCATGAGGTAGATGGACATGAGGTGGACAGAGCTATGTTTAGCCAATAAGCTTAATAGCTCAGGTAAAACTGATTAAATTGGAAACCCATGGAAAAGTGGGTCACATAGCAAGCGGGCATTCTCAGAGAGCAGTGACTCTTCCTTAGGGATTGGAATGGTGACTCCTGACTTGTCAAGGTGATACAGATTTAATCCCTAAGGATTATATTTAAAGGTGTGGTTGCATTTGTTTTGCCTTCTGTCTTGAGACCTGGCCAA